ATATATATATATATAGTAGCGAGGTAGAGGGAAAACACATACACGTAAGCGTTGTGTCACAAACAGGTCCCCGTAGGGTGATTTATTTACAATGTGAAAATAGTGAAACAAGATGAATACAGTGCTCTTCTAGGGGTAGGTGCTCCGGGGAGAAGGTGAGGTTGAGTGAGAGTTCTGGTGAAGGATCGGTCAACCGCTGGAATCCGCTGTGTAGGAGAGACAATGAGACACAGATTAGCACAGGGAGTCATTGAGTGAAATGAAGCTTGTCTTCCTTGTGTGCGGGGTTGGCTTTTATGTGTCTCTCTTGATGAGTTCCAGCTGGGACCGATCCGTGCTGATTAGGTGCCAGCAGGGGTGAATCCTGGACCAAGGCGACGTGGCATCAGTATACTCGCTACAATATATATATATATATATATATATATATATATATATATATATATATATATATATATATATATATATATATATATAACTGTTGTTATTAATAATTTACTAATTAATATGCAAGTAGACTATACAAAATTAAGTAATGACATTATATGAACTTTAAAGTTCAAACAGACTGCAAAAATCAGCAAAACAAAAAAGCGTGTGTAATACTCCCTAAATTAGTGCTTTATAATAAATACTTTATAAAGGGCTTTACCTTTATAAAGGGTCTTTAGAACTTTAGCTGACCATAAATCCCTAATGATTGAATATCTTTAAAATCCATGCTTTTAATATCCAAAATATTGTGGTCTTCTGAGTTACAAAAGGCTAGCATCCTTACAATGAACAAACCAACATATAGATCTCCTTAGAACTAACAGACTAAAACTAACTTTTTTTTTTTTATTTTAATTTCATGGGACCTTTAAGTTGTGAATTATCTCTAAATGATGGTGCATGTTCTAAATGTGTCTGTCTCAGTGTTGACATCATCTTCACTGCGGGAGTACATGGTGGTGTCAGAAAATGGTGGATCTGAGACGTTGTCCTACCTACTACAGCAGAACATGAGTTTCAGTGGATGTGCACATGATCCCAGGACCACACCAGACTTTCAGCAGGTGAACGTGGAGCATCTGATGGTCATGTTCACAGAGGGAAACACACTCAGATATGCCATCAGCAACAGAGTGGGACCTGTAGGAGGTAAGAACATTGTGATAGCCAATGCTTAATAAAATAAGCACATTCACATGCATATCAACACACTGATAACTTTTATACAGTCAGCTAACTAAAATAACCCATTAGCTAGATTAACATGCACACCAATAAACCGGCAAATCAAGTAAACCACATTAACAAGATTTATCAAAATGTAATAATTTGTACATCTAACTTTTTTGTATGTCAGTTGTCATGCTTATTAAATCATTATTTAAAAGTAAGTAAATCTCAATGGGAAAATTATGGCTTACAATTTATCCTATCAAGATCCTTCTGCCACACAACATCAATGCAGTTTTTTAAAAATTCCTTCAGTCTGAATTGTGTAATATTTTCAAAATCTTGCTTTGCTGGTCATAAGTACAGAGGTTACACATAAATATTATTAATTTAATTTAAAGAATTTAAAGTGTTACTACTACAAGTTTATTTGTTTTGATATGTGTTTTCTATCTATTAATTTACTTAATAAATTGGTAATGTGGACATATGTATTTTCTTATGTTTATTTGTATAAATATGCTCTAATTTAGATGTTTTGTTGTCTTTTTTTTTGAGCGCGAGAGGACACATGTATTCTTAATTGTCTATTGACTTGAGTGCAAGCAAGTGAACTGCGTAGAACAAGCAAGAAATTAATTATTTTTCATCATCTGTGTATATGTTAACATGGCGTACGTAAAGTATTTTATTTATTTGTTTGGAATTATATGTTAGTTTATGTTTCTCTGTTATTTCTGAAGTGATACAGTCCCGTTAATTTAAAGTTTATTCTTTTTTTTTTATTGGTAGACTTTAGTTTGCCCTTTAATTGTGAAGTTGGAAACATCTGTGCCCTGGTGACTCCATTTTTATTACACGTTATTTATTGGTTTGTATGGCCAAGTTTGGGTTTGTTTTTTGAAGATAATTTTTTGGAAAACCATTGCTTCATTGGAACAACCCTGATACCGGTTTATGCTTAGGTAGTTGATGACCTTACTTTGATGAAAGAAAACACATAAGCATGTTTACATGTTTTATTAAATGACTGTCTGGAATACTCGACTCTGATTGTTCACTCATGACATACCTCATTACAGGTATGTTATTCTGACATAACAAACGCTAAATAATGCAGGCTCATTCGGGAACTTCGAATCAACTTGACTGTCAGTGAATACATTCTAATCTTTCTTGCTTACACCTGCACTCATACGTATCGTGTCCGTCCACTGTTTTTGACAAGATGGTGCCATCTTGTAAATGAATAATAGTTAGGCTAGGATAAGCTTCATCAAGTCAGCTTAGTTTCTGTTGGCTTTGTGTTTGTGTCTGTTTGGAGCCATTTTGTAACTGAAAAGTGCTTAAGATAGTGTATACTCCATCAGCTGTTTTTATTTCTGTCAGCTTTGTGTTTAATTCAATGATAAACATACTATTATAGCTTAAAATAATGTTTTGTGTCTATTTTTCATGTTTTTGTGGCATATTTTTGTGGCAAGTAGCTGTGTAATATAGTAAATAAACTCTTCAGTCTTATACAACAGTGTTCTGTTTTGTGTCTGGCTGCTGATAAGCTTGTCGGACTTATTCTGCGATAACAACCTCCTAAGCAAGTATTATCAGATTAAGAACTTGGAAGTAAAAGCATTCAGTCTGGATCATGTGGAATCTTCTTATTTATTTAACTGTATGTTTTCAAGGTGAGCTACCTGGACTTGTAGAGTTGAATCCATGTTTAACTGGGAAGCACCATTGTGACCCGATGGCCCTCTGTCTGCCAGGGGACGGCACTCAGTATCTCTGTCAGTGTGCTATGGGCTACCAGGGCGATGGACAAAACTGCTACGGTAGGAATCTTTCAGTGTTTCAGTGTCACTTGATTTTGACATCAAGCCAAGCATGCTCCACCGAGAGCTCGGTTCTCTCTTCTGAGGCCTTTAATGAATTACTGCCAGAGTTAAAGTGGTGAACGACTCTCATGGGTTTTCAATCTGTAATCCAGATGTGGATGAGTGCGCGGAGGGGCTCAGTTCCTGTGGTCCTCATTCTGACTGTGTGAACATGCCGGGTGGCCATCACTGCCACTGTCAGTCTGGCTACGAGTTTGACCTCGATTTGCATGAGTGTGTGGGTAGGTGTTCACTGATTTATCATTGAAATGTTTAAAGCTGGGGAATTGAACTATTAGAAATATGACAGGGATTTGAATTGCTTATTTGATGAAATTAAGGATTACATTTTTTTTAATACTCTAAAAATTAGGCTTGGTTATGTTTTGAAAGTTTTCTATATTTCAGTGGTTTACCATTATTCAGGTGTTGGTCTTAAGAATCTAATATCTATATATATATTTCTAATATACAATGCATTGTTTTTTGATCTTGGTTCAGCAAATAGTTCAAGTGATTCAGTGAGCTTTTCAGTTGATTTAGCTGTTTCAAAAGTGAACTGTGTTTTGAAGTAACTGCATCAACTGATTCATTATTTTATACACTGATTTAGGTTGCTTTACTTTGCACTAGTGACTCTTTTTGTGAAGCATCTGGTTCAGCTGATTCAGTGATTTATAAATTGATAAAATTGGTTTGAAATAGTTAACTGTGTTGTGAAGCAACTGGTTCAACTGATTCATTGTTTTTTTTTTAATTCATTCAATTACGTTGAGACAGTGAATTGTGTTGTGAAGCAACTGGTTCTACTGATTTATGGTTTTATCATCTGATTCAATTGCTTTGAAACAGTGAATTGAGTTGTAAAGCAACTGGTTCAGCGGATTTAGTTTTTTTTTTTTTTTCAATTGATTTGACTTGCTCTGAAACAGTGAATCTTGTTGTGAACCAGTTGTTCCAACTGATTAATTGTTTTGTTTTATTCATTCGTTTTTCAATTTTTGGGCTTTGAAATAGTAAAATGTGATGTGAAGCAACTGGTTCAATTAATTTAATGTTTTTACAATTGATTCCATTGCTTTGCAACAGGGAATCTTTCTCTTAAGCAACAGTTTCAATTGACTCAATGGTTTATGAATCGATTTGATTGCTTTACAACAGTGAATTGTGTTGTAAAGCAAATGATTCAAGTGAGTTATTTGTTTATTAATTGAATTCCTTTGAAACAGTGAATGTTGTGATACAGCATGTTCAGCTGATTACCTTTTTTTTTTTTTTTTTTTCAATTGATTTACATGTTTTGACTTGTATTAAAGCAACCAGTTAAACTGTTTCATTGTTTTGTTTTGTTTTCACTTGATTCAGTTTGTCAATCAATTGGTTCAAATATTTTTGTAATTGATTCAGTTACTTAGTTGAATTTCCTCACAACAAAATGAACAGTTTCTGATTCTGTTTTTTTTTTTTTTAGCCTTAGACACAACATTGATTGTTTATCATGTATTTTTGCTTAAAAAATTTAAATAGTTCAAACTTAATCAAAGCAGTAACTATCAGTCAATGTGCTGTGTGTTCAGAGATGCTCTTCTACAGACATAAGTTGAAATGAGTGGTTATTCCAGTTACTATTGCTTTTCCATAATCTCAAACCAGTCTGATCATTCTCCTTTGACCTCTACATCAACAAGCCATTTTTGCCCAACAGAATTGACCCTCACTGAATGTATTGTTGTTTTGTCATTTATGCTTTGGTAATGTTGGATGGACAACACATGACTCTCATTTGTAAAATCTGTAAACGTACAAAGTGTCAATTTACATCAGAATGAATCAAAAACAACTTCTGGTCATTTATGAAATATAAAAATTCACCACAGACATTTGTTGAACCCTTTCACACATAAAACCCATTGGAAAGTCTAATTTATGCAACCGCACATATGGTACACATTCATTCTGCATATTTCTGAAGAGGCTTCATCGTTCTCTTTTTTATTTTGCAGATATCGATGAGTGTTTCGAGGAGCTCTGTCATCCGTTTGCTTCCTGCTCAAACACCCAGGGCTCGTTCCGCTGTCAATGCTGGCCTGAATACAAGGGCGATGGCTTCCTCTGCCAACCACCACGTAAACCACAACATTTATCAAGAAACACACAACCCTTCCTCCCTGTCAGCTCAGTCACGGGCCGTTCTTTTTGCTTACAACACAGTCCAGTACATCAACTAAATCAAGTATCTGTGTGTATTGTGCACCAATCAGAATGAGCTGTTTAATTATTCCTAATGTGACTGGAACGAGTAGAGCATGTTTCTGGAGCAACGTCTTTTGTTTCAGTACTTGTTGAAATAACATCATGCCATTTACTGATTACATGTGATTGATGTCCCTCTGTTTTTCTTTAAAAAAAAATTCTGCAGCAAAAAGGCCCAAGCCTTCATTAACTGCATGCCAGCAGCACAGAAACAGCCTGCAGGAGAGTATGAGCATGTATCCAGCTCTGGAGGCTTTTGTTCCAAAGTGTGATGATAAAGGCCAGTACAAACCCCTGCAGTGTTTGGGCTCCACTGGACACTGCTGGTGTGTGGACAGCAGGGGGCAGGAGAGAGTGGGCACCAGGACAATGCCTGGCACAGCTCATGCCAACTGTGATCAACCAGGTAAGGATTTATCCTCACATTCTGTTTTCTGTTATGGCCGGTTTTTATACTCTTATGCGTTTTACACTTTTTTTGCAGGAGTACTTTTCCCTTAGCTTAGCAAAAATCTGTGAATCGGATTAGACCATTAGCATCTCGCTTAAAATGAACTTCAATAGTTCAATAGTTCAATAGTTTTCCTATTTAAAGGCTGACTTTTCTGTTGTTACTTTGTGTACAAAGACTGACAGTAAATGAAAAGTTGGTATTTTAGTTGATGTCTAGGAAATATACTATCTGACAAAAGTTTCGTCATTGATCTCAGTTGTAAGAGCAACAAATAATAACTTGACTTCTAGTTGATCATTTGGAAAAGTGGCAGAAGGTAGATTTTTCAGATGAACCATCTGTTGAACTGCATCCCAGTCATCAAAAATACTGCTGAAGACCTAATGGAAACCCAAGATTCTCACAGAAATCAGTCTGGTTTGGTGAAGGAAAAATCATGATTTAGGGTTACATTCAGTATGGGGGCAGATCTGCAGAGTGAATGGTTACATCAACAGCCTGAGATATCAAAACATTTGCACTGCCTATTACATCACAAACCACAGGAGAGATCTAATTCTTCAGCAGGATAGCGCTCCTTTTCATACTCCAGCCTCCACATCGAAGCTCCTGAAAGCAAAGAAGGTCAAGGTGCTTTAGGATTGGCCAGCCCAGTCACCAGAAATGAACATTATTGAGCCTGTCTGAGGTAAGATAAAGAAGGCATTAAAGATGAATCCAAAGGATCTTGATAAACTCTGGGAGTCCTGCAACTCCCATTCCAAATGACTTTATTAATAACTTATTTGAGTCATTGCAGAGATGTATGGATGCAGTCCTCCAAGCTCATGGGAGCCATACACAATATTATTGTTTCACTGCATCATGACTATATATTCTATTCAGTACATTATTTCTGTTAAGTGACAAGAATGTTGTCAAAGCAAAGTCAGACCTTACTGTTCTAATTAAATTAATAAAAATCAAGGTATGATCATATTTTATTTGGGTAAAATAGACATAACCTAGCGGTCTTTGCCTTTAATATAAGCCACTTCTGATACCAAATGATCAACTAGAAGTCAAATTATCATGTGTTGCTCCTAAAACTTGGATAGCCAACAAGACTTTTGTCAGGTACTGTATACTCTCATTCTGGCATATTAATCAAGATATTTTGCACATGGCTGTAGCAGGTGCAATGATATTACGCAGCTCTTTTTTAATTTTTTTTTTTTTTTTGCAAGATGCTAATGGTCTAATTCAATTCAGTGAGATATGCTAAGCTAAGCTACAAGTGATTCCACTAGACCCAGAGATTAGCTGAATAAATTCAGAAATACGTCAATGACTATAAACATTCTTCAAAATAAGTTATTTTGTGTCCAGTCTTCAGTGTCACATGATCCTTCAGTATTTTGACCTGCTGAACTGGTGCTGAATAAATATTTCATATTATTATATTAGACATGCGGTACAGGTGAATTGGGTAGGCTAAATTGTCCGTAGTGTATCAGTGTGTGTGTGGATGTTTCCCAGAGATGGGTTGCGGCTGGAAGGGCATCTGCTGCGTAAAAACTTGCTGGATAAGTTGGTGGTTCATTCCGCTGTGGCGACCCTGGATGAAGGGACTAAGCCGACAAGAAAATGAATGAATGAATGAATGAATGAATGAATGAATGAATGAATGAATGAATGAATGAATGAATGATGTTATTAATAGTTGCTTTTGTGATTTTTTTTTTCCAGGATTTTATGGAGAGAAAAAAATTGGGCTCAATATTTTATTTTGAACAAGTGGATGGATGGGCAGACAGACAAAGAGATAGATAGATAGATAGATAGATAGATAGATAGATAGATAGATAGATAGATAGATAGATAGATAGATAGATAGATAGATAGATAGATAGATAGATAGATAGATAGATAGATAGATAGATAGATAGATAGATAGATAGATAGATAGATAGATACTACGCCACCGCGTCGCCACTCAATAGAATTTGTGGGTCGTTTATCAGTCTATAAGTTCTTTCAAGTTTTAATTCACAAAATTATCTCTGTTGTTCAAAACATTAGCAGTATGGTTGCATTTAAAACAGAAACATACTTCCTGTTCCCCCAGCATGTGTGTTGTGGGAGCTACATTCAGTTCCAGCTATATATGACATAATTATCTCTCATGGGACAGTCAGACTGTAATTAAAGCATCTCACAGTCATTCATTGAGGCAAGATATATGCATGTAGCCGGCGGTCAGAGATTTGAAACATGTCATGAAAAAGTGTGTTTGGGCGGTAACTTTTTTCAGTAAATGTGACGTTGTTTACTGTGTGTGTTGCTCAGCTGCTCTGGTTCCCCGTGTGGAGACTGTGTGTGAGCGTTGGAGGCTTGCACTCATGAGTCACTATAATGGTCAGCCGTCCTCTCAGGACTACATGCCCCTCTGTGACGCTCACGGAAATTTCCAGCCTGTGCAATGTTATGGCAACAGCGCTTTCTGCTGGTGTGTGGACCGACATGGTGTTGAAATTATTGGAACCCGGTCCAACGAGGATGTAAAGCCCCCCTGTGAGTAATAAAGTTATTTTGGATGCAATGTATTAAGATAAGAGATGCTAACAAGCAATGGATTCTAGTGAACTGCTTATTTAAAATTAGTTGAAACAAGACAATTCTTAGTTTTTTTTTTTTTTTTTTTTTTTTTGAGGAGACAGCTTAATTGTTTTATGTTCAATCCACTGACATTTTTAAAGAATATTGTTAACTTAATTGATTTGTCTTGGGACAACATGAAGGAACTGTGTTTTTACACTGTATCTCATCAATCATTTGGCCTAGTGATATGGAACTGTAATTCAATCAAGGCCTGCCAGGAACTACTTTAGCTGTGTGGTTATCTGAAAACACCTTGGAATGTTCAGAACTAGGGCTGCACAATTTGAATCAATAAACCAAAAGAGATCAATTAGATCCATGCTATAGTATCCCAAATTTCCAGAATGCATTGCATCGTAACAACATATAGGACATATTGATTTCTGTTCGATATTGGTCAAGAAGTATTTTGATGTCCTTTAATCCTTAAACACATGACATTCTGAATCTATTTTTTTTTGCCTCACTCATTTTCAGCCATTTTTGGTCGAGTGCATTTTAATATCCGATGGTGTGTTCTAATTTTACTGGTTTCACTAACCACATGCAATGCTACCATCAAATGGCATTTACTTGTAATGCATAATTAATTTACCAATTCTAAAAACCAAACCATTACTCAGAAGCAACAATTTAAAAGCTCCCTCGAACAGAAGAGCTGGGTGGTGGTGGGGGGGTGGTGGTATGCAAACTGAAGACTGGGGTCCCTGGTCTGTACTACCAAGGTTGGCAATCTGAGGACTGTACCAAAAAGCTGAGGAACAGGGGTGGGGCAGAACAAAACGGGAGATGGGTCTGAAATACGAGAGACCCCCGGGAAAAACCGGAGTGTTGGCAGGTATGAAGTAGAATAACTAATTGAGCTTTGTGATCATGTGATTTCAATAGTTTTAGCCAAAATGTCCAGCCCTGGTTTTAATGTCTCTTCTTTTCACCTGTCAGGTATATCTGGTGATGCCGCCCCACTCAACAATGCACTGATGTATCCGGTTATAAGCTCCTCCCCTTCAGGCCCTGCTATACTTTACACACAAGCCTCACAGATTGGAGTCATTCCACTTGAAGAAACAGACCCAGTTCAGGAAAAGTCCACTGTGTTATTAGCCTTACAGGTAGACTTTTATATCCACTAAGTGTGATCACTGACTGTCTTGTTATCATTATTCAGAAAAAAAAATGATGTTTAAATGTCATTGCAGGACTCGGTTGTGATTGGAATTGACTATGACTGTCAGGAGAACATCTTGTATTGGACAGATTTTGGACGACATACAATTTACAGAGCAGTTCTAATATCTGGGTCTGAACCAGAGGCTGTTATCAGCAAAGGTCAATCAATCAATCAATCAATCAATCAATCAATCAATCAATCAATCAATCAATCAATCAATCAATCAATCAATCAATCAATCAATCAATCAATCAATCAATCAATCAATCAATCAATCAATCAATCAATCAATCAATCAGTCAGTCAGTCAGTCAGTCTGTCCATCCAACCACCTACCTCTTTCATATCTATCTATCTATCTATCTATCTATCTATCTATCTATCTATCTATCTATCTATCTATCTATCTATCTATCTATCTATCTATCTATCTATCTATCTGTCTGTCTGTCTGTCTGTCTGTCTGTCTGTCTGTCTGTCTGTCTGTCTGTCTGTCTGTCTGTCTGTCTGTCTGTCTGTCTGTCTGTCTGTCCGTCCGTCTGTCTATCTATCCATCCATTTGTCTGTCTGTACGTCTGTCTATCTATCTATCTATCTATCTATCTATCTATCTATCTATCTATCTATCTATCTATCTATCTATCTATCTATCTATCTATCTATCTATCTATCTATCTATCTATCTATCTATCTATCTATCTATCTATCTATCTATCTATCTATTCATCCATCCATCCACCATCCATCCACCCAAAACTTGAAAGAACTTATAGACCTACAAATTCTATTGAGTGGTGACACGGTACCGTAGTATCTATCTATCTATCTATCTATCTATCTATCTATCTATCTATCTATCTATCTATCTATCTATCTATCTATCTATCTATCTATCTATCTATCTCTATCTATCTATCTATCTATCTATCTATCTATCTATCTATCTATCTATCTATCTATCTATCTATCTATCTATCTATCTATCTATCTATCTATCTATCTATCTATCTGTCTGTCTGTCTGTCTGTCTGTCTGTCTGTCTGTCTGTCTGTCTGTCTGTCTGTCTGTCTGTCTGTCTGTCTGTCTGTCTGTCTGTCTGTCTGTCTGTCTGTCTGTCTGTCTTTCTTTCTTTTCATATTTCGAGTTTTCCAATATACCCAATACAGATCCACCTATCCATCTAATTGCACCTATCCATCTAAACATATCTTTATTAAATCAACCATCCAATCATTTTTCTTTCAATTCACATATCAAACTGTCAAATTCAGATCCATCCATCCATCCATCCATCCTCTCATCTTTACAGTTATCTATTTTCCCCAACCACAGATTCACCAATCCATGTAATTGAACCATTCATCTAAACATCTCTTTATCAAATCAGCCATATATCCATCTTTCTTTCAATTCGGATCTCCAACTATCAATTCCACCTCCATCCATCCATCCATCCATCCATCCATCTGTCATTCTATCTATCTATGCCTTCATCCATTGACCCATTTATTAATTTTCTCATACATCTATCTATCTGTCAATCTATCCAGCAGTCTATCTGTCAATCCATCAATCTATTCATCCGTCAATCCACTCACCCACCCACAGTTATCCTTCTATTGAATTGTTCTTTGTTCTTTGCTATCGACTATTTGTCGATCTATCCATCCATTCATTTCCCTAGCCAATCATTCATCCATGCTTCCGTCTGTCTATCCATCCATTTTTCTAATCTTAGAGTTACCCATGCATGTTGAAACAAATATTTTGACCAACTACTTTAGCAGAAAGTCAAGTAAATAGCCTTGCTTTTCAGATTCAAATTAGACCAATACCATTTATTTAAAAAAGGGAGAATAACATGCAATAGGTCTCAGCCTTGGTAAATGCTGTTGGCAAGAGATTCCATGATTATACGATGTGAAATTCCAGACTTGATTCAGCCGGAGGGAATTGCAGTGGACTCTGTGCACAGGATGCTGTTCTGGGCAGACAGTGGGAAAGACAAGATTGAGACATCTGGCCTGGATGGCAGTAAAAGAAGAGTACTGATTGACTCAGGTTTGGTCAATCCCAGAGCCATCATAGTAGACGCTAAGAGTGGGTCAGTGAGATGTTCTGATGCATTGCCTATGCATTGTTACATATACTATTATGCATACATAAATACGTAAATGCATTAAGATGGCATTTAGAAATTACTGTATTTCTTTGCTTTAGAACTGTATTCTGGACAGACTGGAACCGTGATGCTCCCAAAATAGAAAGCTCATCACTGGAGGGACGTAACAGAAAAGTACTGGTGCAAGTGGGTCTCATGTTGCCCAATGCCTTGACATGGGACAATGCCACAAATCAACTGTGCTGGGCTGATGCAGGTAAGAGTCTTCTTAAATTATAGCAAATCTTATGCACTCTCATGCACACACTGGCCACTTTGGTCTGATCAAGCTTGCAACTGAAATCTGAAGGAAGTTAGATCTCGTGGAACAGGGCTGGTGACTGGCCTAAAGGATCCAGTTACTGCAGATTGTCAATCTTTGATGTAAATCTGTTCTTCTTCGGATTGAGGTCTGGATACTGTGGAGGCCATGTGGGTATAGTGAACTTAAAGGTGCAATAGGGCTTCTTGTTAGCCTAATCACACTGAAAGCCTACATGCCACCCTGCAAATCACCACCCAAAGCATGCCTACTGAATGCATAAATTTAACAACTAAACAATACCACCACAGTACATTCACCAAAGAGAAAACTTTATAGTACAGCTAGAAATTACAAACTTAAAAAAAGAAAGTAGGATTTTGGTGTTTGTCTGCCCTACTCAGTCTAAAGCCGCCTTTCCACTGCACAGGACATTTGGACACGACTGTCGGAATACGCCCCTTTGTGGCAGCCGCACAGTATTTTCAGTGTTGTCGTGCACCGTGGGGGAGAAGCTGATACTCATGGTGTCCGAAATAAAGGTGTGCAAAAGCAAGAGCCTTTATTCTCTGTGCGTTTACATGTTTTAATAAATAAATGAATACTAGAAACTCATAGACCGCTAAAATATTGGAGGGAATGTGGAGACGACATAACATTTTTTTTTTATTACTTTATTACTTACATTTCTGAACAGAAAAGTTTTTGTTTTTTTTAATATCGACTTTTCATAATTAAAAAAATAACCAAATAAACTCCTATTTCTCATCTCGCGTGCACGGATCTGCTTGTACAACACTGGAATACATCATATCCGGTCGGCAGGTCGCATACGGTCTAGTCGCAGTAGTTCAAATATTTCAACGGATCCACAGCTCAATTCGGATCCGAATTTTCCGCATACGGAGCTGATCGGAACTCCACGCAGCTCCCGGACTGCTCTCCATTGGAAATGAATGACTTCCGGTCTGTCGCTTGTCGTTTGTCGTGTGCAGTGGAAAGGAGGCTTAAACAGCATCTGTGAATGTGCCGATTAGGGTTGGTTGATGTCGGCCAATTTGGCATTGTACGATGTCTAATGTGAAACATCATGATGGATGATGGCATCGTCGTCATGGGCGGCGGTGAATTATTTATGAATAATTAATAGTGCTGTTGCCTCACAGCAAGAAGGTCGCTGGGTTGTTTGGCATTTCTGGGTGGGGTTTGCTTGTTACCCCTGCATTCATGTTGGTTTCCTCCAGTTGCTCCGGTTTCCCCCACAGTCCAAAGACATGCGGTACAGGTGAATTGGGTTGGATAAATTGTCCGTAGTTTATGAGTGTGAGTGAGTGTGTATAGAGGTTTCCCAGAGATGGGTTGTGGCTGAAAGGGCATCCACTGCCTGATAGATCCAAAATCTCGAAGAGATAGAGACAAGATTAATTAAATATCATGTTTAACAATTATATTAAGACGCCATCCAGCGGGACATCCTTGATGAATTGTATAGATGGAGATCTTTTCAGGAATGCTAGGTAAAACGCCAGTGTGGATGTGGATTTATTAATTTTTTTAAATGCCATTTTAAAACTTAAGACGTATTAGTGTAAATGCAGCCTAAATGGGTATTTTTTGCGAGCGGGTTGCTGTTGCTAAGGGGGCGGAGCAGAGGACCGCAATGTCGGTACAGCATTGTGATGTCTGTCGACCCAACCTTAGTGCCAATGGTGTAAACTTTTCAGGATGCACAGAGGTATGCAATTACATAGCTGGATGGGTAGGTAGGACAGCCTATAATGTTCGGGACGAACATTTTGATTAGACAAACAGTTCTTGGTCCTACACCCTCCACAGATTATTAAAATAAATACATTTTGACCTTCTAATTTAATGATTGCTATCAGGATGAAGAGACTCTCAACTAGCACAATACTTTTTTTTCTGAAGACAATCACTCAATACCATTGATATCATGTTTAAAAACCTGTGTGGTTAACTGAGTTACTGTTGGCCATCTCTCAGCTCAAACCAGGCTAGCCATTGTCTTATGAGCTCTGCAATCAACAAGTTTTTTTACATAAGTATTTACATAGATTACATTCACTGAAAACTTTGAGATGATTTTGTGTGGAAGTCCCAGTAGATCAGCAGTTTCTGAAATAATACAGCCTGACATCAACAATACTGCCACATTCAAAGTCACTTACATTCTTGTTACATTCTTGTTCATTTTTATGCTTGGTTGTGTTAACAAATGTTAATTTAATGCTGAAATTTATTTATTTTATTAAGTTTATTAAATATTAAAATTGATTTAATTTATTTAGAAACTTGCACCAAAATAATTCCACTGTGGATGCCATCTTGTGGTCAGACACAAACCCTCCAATAGTACCTGGATGCTATGATGTCGATGCTTAAATGGGTGCTACCTCAAATAGTGCACTATTTAAGTGTTAAGGGAGAGCCCAAGTCTTGTCCTCCTGACCCTCTATATATGCCTAAATGCACGTTGATGTTATGGTTGTTTAGATGTTTGCATTATTAGCAGTTGATGTGCCTAATAATGTGACCAGGAAAATGTACTGTAATTTTATGAGAATTCATTCATCAGGCACAAAGAAACTGGAGTGCATATCTCCGGATGGGACTCAGAGACGTGTGTTCCAGGATACTTTGAACTATCCGTTCAGTCTAGCCATCCATAACAAACACTTCTATTACACCGACTGGGAGAGGTGAGTCTCTACATAGCAAAATCCCCCGAGTAAATTTTAGATAGTGTTTGGTCCCTCTTTAAATTGAGTTAAAGCTACTCAAGTTCATGAGACAATAAAAGGATTAATTAAGTGATGATTGAGGACTGATGATGAATACTTGCGGTTAACAAACAGAAACACAGAAAAGAAACACAAAACTACAACTGACTTCAGTCACAGCCTTAGATAAAATCAGCTGAAAAATAATACATTGAATCTCTCAAAATCTCTGCAGAGGATCATTAAGAAACCCCACAAACAGTAGCTTTGCTTATTACCAACGCGTTTGCCCTTATTTAAAGAGGGACCAAATACTCTCTGAACTGAGTAAATTTTGTTTAGAGGATTTTGCTGTGTAGCCTAGTTTAATTATGCATGTGACCTTGTATTTTGCTTAATGTCTCTATATTAACAATGAGAATGTCTGTATAGAGATGGGATACTGGTGATTGACCAAAGCACAGGGAAAAACACAGATTATCTGCCCATTCAGCAGTCACACTTATATGGGATCACATTTATCCCATCACAATGTCTATAGGTAGGTATATAAATGAGAATAATATATAACAACAAATGCCTTTATTAATATTCATAAAAGCAGTATTGATTTTCACACTGTCAGTGTCTGTTCTTTCACAGAGACCCTGTGGATCTCTGCAGTTACAGAGACTGTAAGGATTTTTGGAATATAAATAAATGACAACAAAACAGAAACATTGGTTTTGTATTATTAGTTTTGATTTTATTTTCGGTTCATTTCTATATTTTTAATGTGCTCTTGTCCACTAAGTTAGTCTCAAGTAACTTCTGCAGTTGTTTTTTTGTGTTATAGTCTGAAGCAGATTTTTAGAAAAATTTTATCTTTTAATTTTAGGTGTTAAAGTTTTATTAATCTTTTGTGTTTTGTTGTATTGCTTATATCTAAATACTTAATAATTTTCATTCATTCATTTTCTTTTCGGCTTAGTCCTTTTATTAATCTGGGGTCACCACAACAGAATGAACCACTAACTTATCCAGCACGTTTTACGCAGCGGATGCCCTTTCAGCCGCAACCCATCTCTGGGAAACATCCACACACACTAATTCACACACATACACTACAAACAATTTTAGCCTACCCAATTCACCTGTACTGCATGTCTTTGGACTGTGGACATTAATAATTTATAAATTAATAATTTAACTTTTTGAAACTTAATTGTAAGTTTAGTAAATGGAAAATGAAAACTAACAAAATAAAAAAAATAAATAACATGTTTATTTTCGTACTGTTACTATTTTTTTATATATTTTAAATGTACAAGAATTTTGTCAATTTATTTCATTTATTTGCAAAGAAAAATGACAAATATTTTAATAAATTACTTAACATATATATTGTTTATTAATTTCATTTAGAAATGTTTTTGTTTCAATCTCATTCCATTTTATTTGTAATTTAGTTTTATTTATTTGTAATCTTTAATAATCGTAACTTAGATTATTTTAAATTATTTCAGCTTTTGTCCTGTTAACAAAAATAAATAAATAAAAATAAATACTTATTAATGATAGAAGTTTAAAAAACTTGTACAATTTGAAAACAATCTTAAGTTGAAGTTCAATATATTCACCCATAGGTGGCGTCACTAACTAACTTGTGGCCTTTAGTTCAACAAATGGACAAATAAGCCTATTCCTGTTACTTAATTACAAAGGCACAAGATTAAGACCCAGCATGTCTTCAACTTTTTGTAATAGTTATGAAATACAAGTTTTCCCAAATACACACACTAAAATAAGCTGGACAGCAACCACTTGAGGGTGAGTTAATGGTGAATGCATATTCATTTTTGGCACATCCATCTAAAAAAGATTCCTGCCAGGCGTATTGCGCAGCACAAGAGCACTTTGGCCTTTAACCACAATGGAAAATTCCCACTGTCTAAAATAATGTTGACACATAATGGTTAATTTTAGTCTGATCCTCAGTAGGGCCAAACATACAAGGGCTCCAGGAGCAGGCCATCTCTTCCTCAAAACTCCTCATGTCTTCAAGCCGTGATGTTCAGCTTGATTAGAAAACATCCCACCATCACTTTATTCTCACGTCCACGGGAAGGTGTGGAATAATATTTGAGCACTGCCATGGGGTTTCTGTAAACCCACCATCTGATATTGCTAAATAAACAGGATGGGTTTCCCACAAGGCGCAAGAAGCGCCAACAGACGGCAAGACTTCACCGCTGCAGAGGCCAGACCTCCCAGCCTGTGGAGGGCAGCCAAAGCCCGATTCGGTCTCCAGCCTCAGACCCACCGCAGGTCACAGAGTTCACTGTAGTTTACAACAGAGCGTCCGGAGACCCAAAGGTGGCCTGCGGGTCATAGAAGACCACCAGGCACCCACGGTAGCTGTTTGAGCCCATCAGGTGCTGTTTATTGTCTAATCTGACAAGGTATGGGCATAAAAGGATACGTAGTTCATCCAAAATGAAAATTCTGTCATAATTTTCTCACCTGCCACTTGTTTCAGAACTGGTTTAATTTCCTTCTTCTGTTGTACACAAAAACAAGACATTGCGAGGAGTGTTGGAAAAGGGGTAGCATTCGACTCCCATGGTTCTATTTTCCCTCTTCGTCCTGCTATAAATGTCAATGGCTAGGCCTACATACGTGTTTCCTACAAAAATTCAAAGCACGTCATGTTTCCCAACATATACTCCCAATCTATACTGTTTATACTGTGGTCTCAAAAATGCTTTATAATCAAACTCTCATGAATTGAATAGTAGAGTTTGTGCAAATATATTCATGATCAGATGCTAGAATTCTGTATTTAGTATTCCCAAAAAGATGGGTTGTTTCAGCCCAAATTTGGGTCAAACATGAACATCTTTAAAATATTTAACATATTTTCATTGAAACTTTAATCACAACAGTTGGGTTTATCCATATTTTACCCATATTATTTTGCTGTTATGTAGAAATGTGCAGTGAGTTTAACTGGACACTGAATAACTTTCTGTCTCCTTTCTTGTGCAGTATGTGTGGATGGCAAATTTATTTCATGTAGATTGTACTGTACACAGATGTGCGTAAAAAAAACGATACTGTTACATGAAGTGTCGAAGTTCATCTAAAAACAATAACAAGTGAGTAAAAGTATGATATCTATAATTGAAAATAAAGTTAGAGTGTAAAAAGTAAATATAACCATATACTACATGATTCTCAGCTTACTGGCCTATATTGGGCTCTTATCGCTGTTTTTTATTAATCACTACATCAATACTACATTTTTTTAAAATATGTGATCTATCAAACAATTATTTAATTAATTAGTTATTCAATTATATATTTAACAATTTTGCCATTTCAGTTTTGGCTTTGTGGACAAGAAGCGTGTCAGACTACACAAATATTTTAATGCATATCTTGTTTCTAGTCTGAATATAATATATAGTAAACAAAACATATTGTTTGGTTTTTATAAACAATGTCAAAATAAAGAGGTTTTTTTATTAAAAAAATCTGCCACGAGGTAAAGAAATCTTAGGCTATTTCAAAACAAAAACAATATTGTATTGCTTACCCCACTTGCAGATTATTTAGCATGTTAAAAAAAACAAAAAAAACAAAAAAAAAACACTTAATTTAGATTTATTTTTTTATGAAAACAATATTTTAATATTGTAAATGCTTATTGTTCTAAGATTTTTGAGATAATTGGACAACAAATTGAGCATGAAAAGTATGTGTTTACCATTATGTGTGATCTCATTGATTGAGATGGTGGAAAAGTGGCTGACTTCTGGAAACTTACCAAAGCAGTGTGTTTTGTTGAAGACATCTAGTCATGAGAACAAAAATGATAGTTGGTGTAACCTCACAAACTTCTCCTCCAATACCAGTGTTTCATATCATTATCCTTCTCATCCATTTTCACTTGTTCATGTTTTTAAAAAAAATGTGTGTAGAAGATAGTTTTTTGTGTCTTTTGACTTAAAAATCATTACAACACCCCGATCAAATGGATTGTGCCAAATTCAGTTTGATGCTATGTTATTTATTGGAAGTTTATCCAATTTTAATGGTCATAAATGCATGAACGAATCTTTGAATCTTTTGCAGTAATATCTTATCAATAACAACCCAGTTATTATCTCTGGCTCTGTGTAAATGTGATTATATAATACATAATGTATATAATAAATACTATAGTAATAGTACTATATACAGTTGAAGTCAGAATTATTAAACCCCCAGTTTATTTTTTTTCCCAAGTTCTGTTTAATGGAGAGAATTTTTTTCTGAACACAATAGTTTTAATAACTCATCTTTAATAACTGATTTATTTTATCTTTGTCGTGATGACATGATATTTAAATATATAAAGTAGGTTAATTAGGTTAACTAGGCAGGTTAGGGTAATTAGTCAAGTTATTGTATATCGATGGTTTGTTCAGTAGATTATCGAAAAAAATATAGCTTAAAAGGGTTAATAATTTTGTCCTTAAAATGGCTTTGAAAATATTTTAACTGCTTTTATTCTTGCCAAAATAAAACAAATAAGACTTTCCTTAGAAGAAAAAATATTATCAAATGTACTGTTAAAATTTCCTTGCTATAATAAATATTTAAAAAAAGAAAAAAATTAAAAGCAGAAAGGCACCCTCTAGTGCAGTGGTTCTCAAACTGTGGTACGTGTACCACTAGTGGTACGCAGGCTTCCTTCTAGTGGTACGCAGAGGAATCCTACATGTCATGTACAAGCAACATATGTTTAAAAATTAATCAAAAATGGTTTGAATATGAATATGATGACATATAGCCTATTTATGAGGTCCAAGCAACATTTCCAGGTTTTGATAAATAGGCTACTATAGGTTAACACTTTACATTTAAGTACAGCAGTTTTTTTTTTCTTTTCTTTTTAAGGACAGTAACCTACCATTTTTATTGAACCTTTAAAAGCACATTAATTTAAACGTTGACATTATATTTTGTTTGTTTGTTTCTTTGTTTACATATAAGCAGAGTACAGTCTTAATGTTGATATTTATAATGTTTAAAGTGGCTGATAATAATAAATATTCTTAATAATAGTAGTTAATTTACCACGTTTTTAAACTGTGCAGAGCTGTAGCTGTTTTACTGGGCCTACTACGCTATTGTATTTCAATACTGGTCATTATAGTGGTACTTGGAGGAACAATCTTTTCTGAGGTGGTACTTGATGGAAAAAGTTTGAGAATTACTGCTCTAGTGGATTTGTGAAAACAAATACTGCAAAAAGCCATTTACTTTTTTCCCAATCCACATACTATCCATCCTAAATAGTATTTGAAAATAGAATTAGTATTTCCCAAACCATAGTAGAAGCATCCATATTCTAACTGGTGATATTGCCAACAATACATTGCACGTTGGATGCGAATGTATTAAAACTACAAACGCATGTGAAAAGTGTAAATAAACTACAAACATTATGGACGAGCGAGACCAACCGTCAAGTAGTGAGGCTTCGGTAGATGTTTGAACGACTGTTCGTCAATATCTAGCCCACTGGAAAATATTTAAATCGCTGTGGTATATTTCATCTGCAACAATACTAAACTTATAAAGAAGCGTTTGGAAGTCTGAATGCATAGTTACCCAAAGACCTGAGGAGATTTCTCTGCATGATAGATTCTTGAATTGGAAGATTAACCTGCGACTGCTTCTCC